TGACATGGGTTTTGTTGTGTGTCTAATGGCCTTTTTTGTATGGAATTGTGTATGTATGCCTGCCAAAATAAACTTCCCACTGGCCGGAAAATATTTTAAAGTCTGTTTTAATTTAAAACAGTCGGCCTATGTTATAAGTACTTATCAGATTTTGATATAATCATAAAAGCACTGTTTGTAAAAATCGTTTCCATATATGGATTACGCAATTCATCAACTAACCAAAACACCCTCTGCAAGGATGTAACCATTACAACTGCAGGTGCAAACACTTTAAGCTTGTAAAATGTAACAATATAATCATATTTCGGTAAAACGAAGTTGCGAATTGTGTTTTGTTTTTATCAAGAGCCCAGCAGTGTAGCACATCCTAACCAAAGGTGTCCCAAAGATTAAGTGCGGTTAACATTTGGCAAACAGTTAGAAATGGCAAGCAAGACAGTAGGTGAGAAAGGGGTCTGAAAGGTCGCATTGGCTTTTGTTTATGTTGCACTTTACATTCGGCAGGCCGCACACTCCATAAACATAGCCCACACCAAGTGCACTTGTCATGCAGCCCAACATGTTGACTGGGTGTTGTATGTTTTAGGATATGGATGGAGTTGGAGGTCCGCATGCAAATTTGTTAGCCATATTTGCAAACTCTTACTCCTGAGGGTGTGCGTGTGTGCTTGCGTGTATTTGTTGTTTTTGTTTATGTATTGTTGTACTTGTTGTTTATCCAAAAATTATACGCCTCACTTGCCGCCTCGTCGTGTATTCCGGCCACTAGAAAGCAGCTAAACATTTGCCAAGCTGTTCACTACCCGGCAATTGCAGCCTCCCTCCTTTCCTCAACTATTCTGCCCAGGCTCCACAATGTCTTTTGTGCGTAATAGAATTTGCCACGCTGTTAAACTTGCTCTGCGGACTGTACTCTAAATTTGCGGCATTATCCGCACGCGTGCAACAACTTGCAACTTTTTAGTATGTGCCAATGAAGTCCACCTCCCCCCTACCTAAGCTAAGCTGTCTACGGTGTGGAGTGGGTAGTTGGTAATGACGAAGTTTTATACAAACTTTTAATTAATTAAGTGCACACTTTTCAGTTTTAAGTTTCTTGGCTGTGGTCCATAAATCAAATCAATCGATTGCGCACTTAGAAGTTAAAACTACTTTTCAATCAAATCATTGTGAAGTGTTCAAATCAGGGAATTTAACAACCATTAAGAACAACAGAAAAGAACAAAAGAATGCTGAATAAAACTAAATTGATTACGTGGTAAGTTGGATATAATATTATAGAAGTTGTTACGTTTTTTCAATAAGGCTTAAAGAGTGCGAAAATAATTTGAAAAAAATTATAGACGTCGCCTCTATAAAGCATTAGAAAGAATGTTAAAAAAAAAATCAATTCTTGATTGTATTGAGAAAATACAGATAATTTTCACAGTTGTGAAAAGGGACTTAGACAAACTCGAAACTTATCCTGATATACCTCATGCGACACCAATAACATTTAGTGCTCCTTGCTGTGGCTCATGCGATAGTTTTTCCGCTTTAACAGCTCTGCGCTGCTTTGCTGCATGTTTTCAAGTTAAACTGCTGCTTTATAGCCCTTCGCCACATCATCATGCGCAGCAGCAACATTACCAGCCAGTGTCCAGACACAAGCTGCACCGCATACGACTTTGCCACAGACTGGGAGTTGGTAATGGAGCAAGGGTGACTCTCATAAACTGCATAAATTTTTAATAAGCGCAACACACAAAATGCGACCAAGGGACGAAGTTTACAACAACAACGATGCTGAAAGCTGCAAAGGGAGCTGCAGTTGCACATTCCCATGGTCTGGCATTGCCTGAGTCAGCATCCAAAAATGGCCACTTGAAGCTGCCTCTCGTCAGCTGGAATCTAAAAGTGCAGCAATGATTGCAGCACATGTTCTATTTGCCTGTCAAATGGCAGCCAATGTGCTAAGTGTAGTGGACAGTCCTGCAAATAAGCTTAGCCCGTACCCGCACCCGCACACGCACAAGCACAAGCACACACAGCCGCACCCTCTTCGTCTGTTCAGCTAAGGGCTGTTACAATTTGTGCCCGAATTGCGGTTGCAGATAACAGCAACAATTACTGCAACAGCAGCAGCTAACGTTGCCTGCACCTTGCCATTTGATAGCACAATAAAGGCAAAACACCATTCAACAGATACCAATGCGATAGCAGATATAACACAAAACAACGCGGAGACAGGTGTTAAACTAAAGCTGTTAAAACCCTTCAACAAACTGTCAAACCAGTTACAACACACCACACAGCAGCAATGTGATGTGGACAGGAAGGGTAAAAAAGCTGCCCAATTTCCTACAGTTGTGAGCATAAAAATCATGACAACAAAACTGAATACCTAGTTAGTCTATAAACTTGCTACAATAACTAAATTCAATTTTTAATTTTCTATACATTTTTTACCGTCCATAAATTATGCTGAAAAAGATTCGGAGTTTTATTCACAAAAATTGCTTTCATCGTAAATGCGATTTTAAGTTCTTAATTCCCAGCATTTTATGTATATACAAATATTTACCAAAACATGGTTTTTCCACTCTACTCCTGTTTGCAATGAAACTAAATTAATGTGCATAATTCTGTTGAAAGTGATTTTGCATTTCAGTTTAAAATAGTTGAAATATTCTCTTTAAAAACACAATTAAGATTATCCCGCATTTAATCCGAAACTAACTTGTTATCATAACTGAATTTGTTTGTAATGCAAATATAAAATATTTTCTCATAAAGATTTAATTAAATAAATGAAAAAAGCAGGTACGTCAAGAATTTGTACATGTTAATTTAATGCACCCCGTGTGAGCGTGCCGTTAATTGATTGCATAACAAAATTCCGCAGCCACACGCACCCGGAACCGCCAGCTATCGTCAATTGCAGGCGATTTATAGCCCAGAGTGCGAGGAGGTGTCGGCAGCAGCGAAATTTAAAACCGAATATTGAGGCAATTTGTTGGTTGTCTCTTCAATCAGGCTACAAGCAGAACTACATGCATGGCAATTAATTCAGTTTCGATTTAAGTGTTAAATTTAACAAGCAAGACTAGAAAATACCCTTCACCAAGCAAATTAAGTGCATCTGTACAAGTTTTCGAGATGTTAAGAAATTCCTTTATATAAATATTTAAAGAGAAAACAGAATACACATATGATATTTACACACATATATATATTACACATACTGGACACTTAAACACAAATTTCTGTATAAATCTATTGTGTTCCTGGTTCTCGATAATATTATTGTTTAATTTCTCACTTTCAACGTGCCAAATGGCAGTGTTGAATTTTCTATTGCATAACTTAAGGCGACAACTGGCAATCTAAATGTTTGAACTTTCTGTAGTGTCTTGTGGCGTGGAATGTTTTCCCAACACTTGAAATTGCCTCGCAATTTGCGCTTTATGCATTAACCTGCCAATCCCAAATGCTATTTTAATATGGCTTAGCCGAACAACAGAAATTAGTTCACATGATATCGACAGCATTGGCCCGAGCTAACAACAATATTATTATTATGCAAATTAATTTGCAAGTCAAAACATGCTCCTTAGCCAATATGTTTGGTTTGTCGCTAATGTACAAAGCAAATTGAGGTAAGTATCGATACTAAAGGCCACTTCAGATGCAACAAAACTAAGCAGCTTATATAGATATCCATGTATGTGAATATATGAGAATATATTTTATATAGTTTATATTGTTAAGAATGCCACGAGCCATGCTGTTTGTCTTAACGCCTGCGATGCATATGAAATTACTTAAAGAAAATGTTTTCAACTAATATTTGCATAGATAGATGCTTTATTCTCTTATGCAAAACAAGCTTTGCTTGTATAAAAACAATGTGCGCAGCAGTTACAATATTTTTCATTTACCTACATGTCCAGTGTTAAATAATGCATTATTCGATGGTAATTTAAATGTTAATTTCATTAAAGAAATCAAATTTCTTAAAAGCCATCAAATCATTTTTCTTCAATTGATCAAAACAAATTGCGTGTTTGTGCTAAGTTAATTGTGCGCAATTTTTGTGCATTTTGCTGGCGGCAAATGATTTATTTATTTTCCCCTGAATTTCAGCAAAAGTTGACGGCGAGAAATCAAAGCAACGGCAAAGTTGCGCTTGAAAGTTTTCAAACTCTGAGCGATTGAATTGTGGAATCTGTTGAAGCAGTTCTAGAAGGAATGCTCAATACCACATTAGTACGACGCCGAAGTTTGTTATGAAATCAATAATTTGTTAACGAGCTCTGTACCAAGCTATTTTTTGATTAGTTTTTACCTTGGTCTACAAATTTGAAAGATTTCTAGAGATTTTTACTTGAAAATTAATTTCCTAAGACAAACGAATTAAAAAAATAGAAGAAATAAAAACAAACTTAAATTTAAAGTAAAAGCTGCATTTACTATTTATTCCCTCCCCGTAAAGTAGAAATACTTTAAAATACACTCTATTTAAATATGCCCATAATTTTTAATTTACAATAATATTTAATTATTTTGCTCTTATTTTCTTTTCCTAACCCAAATTCTTTTCATTTTTAAAAATCAAAACATAAATTTTGCTTTTAGAGCATAATTAACAAATTAATAGAATTTATGAAGAATGTAATTGAAATCAATTAAATAAGAATCCGGCAAAAAAATAGGCTAATAGTTATCAATGCTATGAATCATAATAATATTTGCAAATAAAATAAATACATCTTTTATGCCACCTGCTCAGCCCCAGATACCGATGAGCCCTCAGCTTAATGCAATTAACTAGAATTCCAAAGAAAACTTTCGTAAGAATACAAGTCGTATACATAATGGTTTATGTTTAGACCACAAACAATGGTATTAATAAATATGCAATATATAGTATTTAAAATAACAGGCACAACGTGAAGCTTGCACAAATGTTGATTCAATGGAAAATGTCTAACGAGCAATTTACATTTATTTTCCAGGCTAAATAACAAACCGAAAGCTGACCATGTTTGCAAAGATTGCAAATGACACAACAACAATAAGGATAGAAACCGCAACAAACTATATATATACATATGTATTTATGTAGAGAATATTAACTTTTCAGGACAAACATGTGGCTATTGATTGTGGGCCTTCATTTGGTCGGTGGCAGCCCAACAGAGTCACAGCCAGAGTGGCTGTTAACGGGAAACACAAGCACAGCTCCATTCAACTATCCCAATGATACCATCTATAGCACACACTCCAGCGAGTACTTGCCAACTACGGGCAGCTCCATTCATAGCACGGATCTGCCCACCTATCAGCACTGCATTGCAACACGCAATTCGTTTGCGGATTTGTTCACGGTTGTGCTGTATGGTCTGGTTTGTATTGTGGGCCTGTTCGGAAACACGCTGGTGATATATGTTGTATTGCGCTTCTCCAAAATGCAGACGGTGACCAATATCTATATACTCAATCTTGCCATAGCCGATGAATGCTTTTTAATTGGCATTCCGTTTTTGCTCTACACGATGCGCATTTGCAGCTGGCGTTTTGGGGAGCTTATGTGCAAGGCGTACATGGTGAGCACCTCGATAACATCGTTTACATCCTCCATCTTTCTGCTGATCATGTCCGCGGATCGCTATATGGCTGTATGCCATCCGATATCATCGCCGCGCTATCGCACCCTACACAATGCCAAGGTTGTGTCGGCGCTGGCATGGAGTACTTCGGCGGTACTGATGCTGCCGGTAATGCTTTATGCCAGCACTGTGGAGCAGGAGGACGGCATTAACTACTCGTGCAACATAATGTGGCCAGACGCATACAAGAAGCACTCGGGCACCACCTTCATACTGTATACCTTCTTTCTGGGCTTTGCGACACCCCTGTGCTTCATACTCAGCTTCTATTACTTGGTCATCCGAAAGCTGCGTTCGGTGGGACCCAAGCACACGACCAAGTCAAAGGAGAAGCGTCGCGCCCATCGTAAGGTAACGCGTCTGGTGCTGACCGTCATCACAGTCTACATCTCCTGCTGGCTGCCGCATTGGATGTCCCAATTGGCGCTGATTAACTCAAATCCGGCGCAGCGTGATTTGTCGCGTCTGGAGATACTCATATTTTTGTTGCTGGGCGCTCTGGTCTATTCAAACTCGGCGGTTAATCCCATACTCTATGCTTTTCTCAGCGAGAACTTTCGCAAGAGCTTCTTCAAGGCCTTCACCTGCATGACCAAGCAGGACATCAATGCCCAGCTGCAGCTCGAACCCAGCGTGTTCACCAAGCAGGGTAGTCGCCGTCGTGGCGGCTCCAGGCGTCTGTTGACAACTAATCCGCAACAGCAGCTGGAGCAACAGCCGCCACTTCTGGCGCTTCACGTGGGCAACAACAACTCATCGACAACCACGTCATCGACGACAACAGCTGAAAAAACTTGTTCCACAAATGCTCCAAAGTCGTGTAGCTCCAATGGTAAATTGACAGTGCCTAGCTCCTCAACGGCGCCTGAAGCAGAGAATCTAATAATCTGCCTGAGCGAACAGCACGAAGCGTTTTGCACAACGACGCGGCGTGGATCGAGCCTGATGCAACAAACGGATCTTTAAAACTTGTCAATAAGTTTTAATGTGTACTTAATTAAAAGAAAACCTCTGATTAAACGTATGAAGGTATGTGTGTACTATATTAAACTAATGAGCTTAGGCATTTAAATATTTACTAACTTTTTCTACTAAATGTGTGTGGTACAAACTTTCACTTTCTCACAAACAGTATTATAAGAGAACCTCACAAATAGTCAACCATAAACCCAAGCTGCTGCCCTTAGCTTTTCTTAGTTTTTTAATCAAATATTAAATACTTCAAAGCATATTTAATGCGACGAATTTTCAGAAATAATATAAGATTAGAAGTAAGTCTTCAATTTAAATTCAAGGGGTTTTCCTTGAATGGTGCATTAGGCCAAGAACATATAAATGTAATAGAATAAAGTTAAAATAAATTATTTAAATGTGCTTTTAAGTGTATAAACAAATATAAATTTAAAAAAATATATATTAATTTAACATGTGGTGCCCCGGGCTGTCCTACCACAGCAACTCGAGAGGTAAAGGATTCCACGTAGCCTGCCGGACAAATAAAATGCATTAACAACGTAATCCAATCAGCGCAGTAATGAAATGTTGAGTGCCTGCCACTTTACCAGAAAAGATTGGGAGCTGAACGTCGAGGGGAGGACAGTAACAGGCGTGAGATACACTCGGGCCGGTTCAGCAACAGAAACGCAACCAAAATACAGTACAAAGCGAAAATGCACTATATTGCTGTTGGTTACTCTGGCATACCCCGTCTCAACGCACCCCGTTTGGTCCTAATACGCAGCGTACATGGGTCACGTTTTATATTTCACGGCATTTACAGATTTGTCGCACATTCGCATTGCAGTGGCGCCCATCTGATGTTAGCAGATTTTCACCAACACACGTTTTAGATTGCTCCACAATAGTCTGGCTTAATGGGGCGCTGCTCATTTACTGCTTGCATACAGTGAAAACTCGCCTAAGGGACGCTCGTATTATGCCGCCACCGCTTTTGGACAGGATATTTTAGCTTAAACCATGTTATTGTATTGTATTATAAGTCAGACGGACACTCCTCTTGAGTATACAAAAATAACCTGAAGATGAGTGTTCGCGTAAGCGAGCATTCACTGTAGTTGGAATGTCCCATAAACGACATACTTTCCCTTGTCTAGCCATTTAGTTTGGACTGGGTCGCCCACACGGATATCATATGGTCTGCGGCATATACAATTACTTTACCTTCGACGTGGCGCAACATTTGGCAAAATCAAATTATCTGTCGTCACACCACAAAAGGAACTCGTCTTGCGGTCAATCAGCCCAGCGTCAAACATTCCACAATGTCAATCACAGGTGTAATTTAATTTAACTGAAGCTTACCACAAGGAGATGCAGTACATAAATCACAACATTCGACTTGGCGAAAGTAATCAACTAATTAAAAAGAGACACAGCCGCAATGCAGAGAATTCACATCTGAATGAGTTTATTCGAATGTGAACTGACAAATTATAGTTAATTAGTTTTCAGGAGACAAAGATTGCAATCACCCCACAGATATAATGTTGTACTCCCAATTTGATAAAACGCAGCATGTCCCTTTTTTTCCCATAGCTAGACGATACATTTAAGGATAGCGGACTTAAACTCACAACAGGCAGGACTATAAATTAGTTTTTAAGGACTTTACAGGATTTGACTAAATATTGCAGCCCAAGTGTTTTTTAGAGGTTGTAAAACTACAAAATCGGTTCTAGCATTGCCAGTTAAAGGACTATCGGAAGGTCCTATAAAGAGAAGGTTCTCATCCACCTAGAGTTTCTTATCGAATATGCCACAAAAGGGATGAGAAGCCTTCTTCTCTGCTTGTGTGTATTAATTTTATTGACCAGTACCATCAACTGGCAAAGCACAGTAAAATCGTCGTCTAGATTCTGAGATATCATGGATTGCGTGATTTTATTCTGTTGTCCTTTGGGAAGCAACTGATAATTTGACTGTCCTGAATTCTTAGATGACCCCATAATTTTTCGTTTGAAAATGTGCAAGCATATACGCATATATGCTTATACAAAATAAATCCCACTTATTCAAGCACTGCATCCAGTTATTCTCTCAGGGCAAGAGGCAAAGTGCCAGCGCATTCAAGAGTCAAAAGTAATAATAAAGAAGCTGAGGTGCAATAGAAAAATAACTGCGAAAGGTGGCTAGCTAACAGAAACAGAAAGAAACCAAGTTGCACTCAAAAAACTTGCTCAGTTGGTAAGCTGCCATAAACCCGGCTGCCCTCGCACCTGTAATCAAGCCCGCAATACACAGGACCTCAAAGTGGGGCTTAGTCGATATGGCTATACTTACATTTTCAAAGATTTCCCCCATATTTAAAGTAACATATATTTTCACTCCACCACCAGGTAGTTGTATGCTTATATTCCAGAGCAGGTTGCGAAATTGGTGTGGAAAAATCTTACTGCAGACTTTCTGTTGGCACGCTGCAGCGCATAAATCAATGGCAGCATTGGCAAAAGGCTGGAAGCCAAGTTTCTAAACTTGATTTAATGCCAGTGCAGAGCGTACTATATATGTACAGCAAGCTGCGGAATCTAACTTGAAAAACGCCGTCTTAAAAGCATTTGCCTGACTTGAAGGCCATCGATATAAATCAATTTTTATTGAAATATTTTTATATTTTTAACCTTAAAGTTTTAGTTAGGGTTCAATAAACTCGAGGCCCTTTGCGAATAAAACAAGAGTTAGCGGCGGATGCCGTTTTTATACCATTGAAACGAGAGAATTCAAGCTGTGCATATTATGAATTTTAATGTAGTGCCAAATTTAAAAGACTTTAAAACTATCCCCAACGCCAACCTGCAGCTTTTATTCTTTAAGTTAACTTGCAGTAATTTGGTACAGTTTTTACGTCCTTCTCTGCTTTCTGTGTGAATTTATTAAATGAACCAAGATGGAGTTGTCCTTTTTTATTAAAGCCTATCAATCAAAATTTGGGTGTGCTTATGTAAATACATTAAACGGCTTTCCCTGATGATTGAGTGACTGATTACCATGTTTCTGAAATGCATATGTTTTGTGTGTTTATATGTATATGGTAATTTTCTGCTTAGATGCAAAACAGAAACTTTTTTTTTTGTGTCAACGCTCTATGCGATTCTCATAAATTCAATTAAGTCGTAAAAATTTGCATGCTTTTTTATAAGTATTTAATTAAGTTGTTAACTAAGTTAGCCATCAGCTTTTAAGAAGTTTTTCTCTTTATTCCACTTTCTTTCTTTGGTTCACCCTTAAACTAACGAAAACTTTATTTCTGTATAGCCACATAAAGAATTTGTATTGTCTTTAAAAAATAATATAGCATAAAACTTATATTTTATTTATTGTCAGTCACAAATCTTATTTAAATAATTCACGCAAAAGTTTTTTCAAAAATTGTGACAATTAACATTTTCAAAATGGTGCCCAAGACTCAACTTTCATTAACACTTAGAATCCCGCAGCATTTGAGTATCTGAATCTGGCAAGTCATGATAACTTTATAGTGGACTACCAACACACAGACATACAAATTGAGGGGTAGTTTCAGTGGCGCGACTCAAACAATAAAAACGAGCAAAATGTGATTAACATCTTTATGCCATGTCGAGTGAGATACAACCAAAACTTGATCCTGCCCCTCGCGACGTCGCAGCCAAAGCATCCCACGCACGTAGTCAACGCATTTTAATGGAATTTGTACTCTTGTTGGCTTTTCGCTGAATTTCCATGGCAAAAGCGTGAAAATATTTGCATAGCTAAAACAAAGTGCAAGGAATAACAATAAGAAATGTTGAGAATTATATTTAAACGAAAAATGGTTGAAGAAGAAAAAGAGTTATGCGAACTTGACTGTCCACAACTCTAAGCCTTCAATTGCAACTGCCGGAATTGGTTAGGAAGCACTGTCAAGTTATGAGATCATGTCCATAGCTCCGGTTACTAACTAAATGCCAATTTACTTTGCCGGCTGCTGCAATGTTGCTCGGTTGTGGCACTAAGCGGGTAAGCCTGATTCGCTTCTGTGGTTGCAATTTTCTATGCAATTACTGCAACGACGACTAACGAAACTTGTGTAATTGATATATGCGGTTGCAAGTGGCAACTTTCTAATGGAGCTGCCTGCCTGCCAGCAGCATCATCGACTGCACGAAAAGTTGGTCAGTGCCAAGAAGCTGGCAGTGTTGCATAGCGCCAGAAAGTCTGCGGTTTTGGGAATTGCTTGATGCCAAAATTGTTGTTACGTGGCTTAAGACTGAAGTCTGGCACAATTTTGATTACCGGCTAATTGCTTTTCAGGTGAGCGCTCAAAAACGCACGTCAATTAGAAGGAGTTCACAGAAACGTCAAATTCTGCAATTTAAGCAGAATTTCAATCAAAATTTGATATATCAGCTGGTCGAAGCATGATTGACATATTCCTTCTTTGAACTGGGCCTTTTTGAGTATTAAGTAGAATCTGATTGCTGTAATTCTGATTGTTACCGATAAATATCCGATAAATATCGAAATATTCAACGAAAGTTTCCGTTGCGAATTTCTCCAAAGCGTTAATTTTATTCACATAGAACACCTTTCTGCCGCAACTGTCTGTAATATTATAATCCCCATTTAAACTCTTTTAGCTTTTTATTCCCCCTGTGGCATACCCTGCCCTTTACTGCACCCCACACCATTTGTTTTGACATTCACTTCACTTGCAGCGAAGGACCAAAACATTTAAATGCCATTTCAATTATGCGCTCTACGGTCTGTGCAATAACTGGAGCAAACCTACAATGCCCCAGCTCCTAATCCTTGGTGGGTGGATATTCGGGTGGGGCTTCCGGTTCGTTAGGAAAGTTCACGCACAAATTAACACGCAGCAAGTGCAACTTTCAGACTTTATGGTTGCCAAAGCACAATGTACATAAAAACAAAACATAATTTCAATTTTAATGAGCAGCAAGTTGGCAGCTTTCACCAATAACACACAAACTTTCAAAAATATGCAAATAATACTCAAAGCGAATTTAGATATCAGAGATAGTTTTATACAAACGAATATGCACATTCGTATTCATTAACAGAAATGAAATTTCATTGCATACGTGCAGGCGCCGTATATTGCAATTTGATGAGTTTAAGCATTTAAAATTTTCCCGCTGAAATGCCTGGCAGTCAAAGTTCATTGGCTTGCAGCTGCCTGTACTTAACAGCATTTGACTATATTAATACTCTTTCAAGAGGTATTATTAAATAAATATCGTACAAAATGTGGTTGCGATAATAAGTAAATGAAGCAATTAGTCTCAGGTCTATACCTATACCTAACTATTAGAGTTGTCTGTTCTTGAATTTTCAGACATCCCAATCTATAAGTCTATA